AGTCACTCCCTTCTTTCGGTGCTCACATAACAAACGCACAGCAGTTCAGTTTTTCAGGAGGTTCTCAGTAGTTTTGGTTTATGGCTTCGCGTGCAGCGAGACATGAGCACTTTATTCAGTGACTTTTCCTCAGCTGTTCTGATGAGCTTTAGTGGCTTAATATAAATACTTTTGATTTATTTATTTCTCCTTCTTATTATTTCTAGCACCCAAAAAACAAGCAAATAAAAATGAAATATCCTGAAGCTGCATCTGTACAACTGTTTTTAAAGCCGTCAAAGTCAAAGAAAATCTAATCAGTACTGTGCCAACTTACAATTATTAAGCTCCCGCTGGCTTTGACAATTTTGTATTTAATGATAAGCTGTGCAACATGACACCAGCTTTAAGATATAATCTTCCTGCAATTCCAGCAGTATTTTTGCACAAACACAAAAATTAACCTGCAAATATTCGAGCAGAAGAAACAACAAAGGTCTGTGCGGTGCTCAGGAACCCGTCTGCACCAGGGGTTAGTTCATGTGCAACACAATTAACTGGCAGAAAATGAAACGTAGTTCCCTCCCAGTGAATAAATGATTTGGGGCTAAATTGATAGCATCCGAATATTAAGTAAAAGAAAAGAAAAATAGAGGCACACGAGGCAATGCTTCATATCGGGATTGAAATGTAAATGTTTTCTTGCAAAACAAAATCTGTTATTTCTGCTTTTTGATCTTGCTGTCATAACCGACAAGAGAAGCACATCAGAGGTTTATCTGAGTCTTTGCATTGAATGACTCCTTCATGCTTTACACCACACAAAGAAAAGATAAGAAGAAATGTGAACTAAAAGCAGTTCAACATGCTGCACCTCAGCAAGACGTCAGAAAGTTGCTCTGCATTGAAAGAGAGAGTTTGATAGGTGTCATATAAACCCTGTGTGATGGTGAAATAAGAAAGCGTCCTGTCTCCCCTTTATTTTATTCATGCGGCGTGTGTGAACGAGTGATTTTTAAAACATATTCATCTCCACATTAAAAGTGGACGGCGATTTATTAAACATTTTTGCAGCAAACAGTAGCTGTCAACACATTCACAGCTGAGAACTCTGACTCTGTCCGGGTGAATAACCTGCTTTTCCTGTGATGTGTTTACCCATCGAAGATCAATGCATTTGTCTCTCGAGCTGCAAAGCAAAACATGCCTAATATTTGATGAGACGCCGTGACAGGAAGACAGTGGGGACGGGATGCGGCGCTGCCAGTTTCTGTCTGCTGAAATCCATTTGCAAAAGCTTCTGTTGTCATTCTCGTGATATGCCGGATGAAAGGAAAGGAAATTAACTTATCATTACTGGAGAATTTAGTATTACAGGGAGAAGATTAGAGACAAAGTTTGTTTCTGAAGTTGCTCAGGTGTTTGTGAGGAAATGTTCAAGAACGCCTGTTGGTGCATGATAAAAATATGATCCTGTCAAAGTCTTTCTATAATTGATGGCGCGGTGATGATGACCACAAGATTGTTCCCACAAGGTGTTGCGTGATGGCTGTGAATTAATAATGGTGTGGGTATCAACCTGCTTTCCTCATGCAGTATTAATTCATCAGGTAAACTGACCGGATAGAAGTTTTAGATGAATACAGGAAAACATGAGCAACTTTTCATTTGATCAGACTATGTGTTACAAATTAAATTTTTCAGGTTCTACGACTTTTTTTTGTATATAGTTTGTCAAGATAATGAAACTGTTTAAATCTTGATCGATATTTCAGTTTGAAATGTGAGTCTCATCTCATTGGTCTGATTTTTGGGGTCATTGTCACAGTTTTAGCAGCTCTGGCCGGATGTCCTCTTCTTCCTCCTTCTTACAAACCTCTGATAGGCTAAACCTGGGGTCACTAACGACGGTTTTGTTCCTTCAAGTGCCAAGATGACCGATATCCATGAACTAGCATGCATGACGCATATCTCAACCCAGCTAACCTGATCAACATGACATACCGTGAAACGTTGGCAGCAAAATTGGTTTAGTGGCTTGGTTGTTTGAAACTGTTGATAACTGTCACAAAAAAGATTGTCGTTTTGAATGTTTATTAAATTCTTGGCACTTAGTCTATCTTGTTAAACCCATGAGTAGCATTATGCTAAATGCTTGGTTACGGCTAGGCTAGTATGCTATCATGCTACATGCAGATTTAGCATGAATTCAGTATCCTCATTTTTTGTCATTTTGGATCTAAATTGCAAAGTGTGACATTGTCTGACATGATAATATATGATATATATACGTGTTGCTTAATTTCAGTGATACCTCAATCAAGACTACAAATCTCATTTGGTAGTTTTTTTTCCTTCTAACTGAAGACAATAAAGAAAACAAGAAAATGAATTATATAAAAGTAAGTTATGTGTTTTATAATTATAAAACACATAACTTACTTTTGAGTATATGAAACTGGAAAAATGTGGGGAGTACAAATAAATACAAAGGTCCTTTTAGTTACATGTCTTGCAACGTGACTGCTATGTTGAAATGCTTCTGTGTGGTTATTTTGAAGCATTATTTAAAGTAGACTTCATTTTAGAGCTCACCTGGACATTAACAATATTGTGTAAAAAAATCAGGTGTCAAAACCATTTTTTAAAAAATGGTTAAAAACTTTCCTGACTTGCCTGAAAAGATTCGAGTCCCAAATTTCTCTCATTTCCAGTTTGTCTTTTGACATGCTAATGATTTTAGCAAAATGCTAAATTTAACACAATTTTTTTTTTAAATCTCATAATATTTTAAATGTGGTAGGTTTTTCTTTACTAAATTGTATCTTAGTTTGTTTGTCCTCACTACAACATTCAACCCAAAGCCTAATATTACTGTGTCCAGTGAACATTAAGGATGAAGATCTGAAGTGCATCTGTGAGCATCTGAAGATGCTCTCAGTAGATTTCAGCCTTAATAAATAAATGTAATTTAGCCTGATATTAGTGATTTTATTGCCACAGGCATCACTGCATCTGTTCCACTTTTCACGTGTTGGATCGACAAAATATCGTCTACGGTAGAGGAAACACTTTTACTGAGATAAAATTTACACTTTTATTTCACTCTAAAAATTATTTTGCTGTTTTTTTTTTGCAGTTTTCTCTTAACATGTGAATATGTTGGTATTAACTACAAAATTTGAATAAAATTTGAGTAGAAACTGAAGAGAGATGCTCTCAGGGAAAACTTCAGTTTCAAATGATCCAGATGACACACACTGCTGTGCATTTGTGTCTTAAAAGCACACACAAACACTTTATTTAACCATAGTTTATCACACAGACACGCCCCTGAATAATTTTTTTATGTTCATGAAATTAAGTTCCTACAATCTTACTAATAACCAGCTGATAGCAATGCCTGAGGGAAAAAAGAAACACATTTCGTGTTCGTTTCTTTATTTTAATTTTAATTTTCAGATTGTCAATTTTGCTCTTAAGTGTCGTATTTTGATTTTTTTGAAGCCACGACTATTTCGACAAAGCTCGATGAAAAATACAGAATAAGTTAAGTGTGTTGGATTTTTCACAAGCACACAATGTCAGGCCAAATACCGGCAGCTCTCAGCAAACTGTGACAACTGTGTTTTATCCTTCAGGGGTTTGTATTGTGTGTGCATTTATTCCCCTCTGAAAAATTTGGGTGCACTCCTGATCACTCATACCATGACGGGATGCTTCAGCTGATCTGTACTCATATTTATCCACAGCACACACTGCAATCTCACACCATCTGTAAAAAAAAAAAATGTAACTGAAAATGACGGTCTGGAGAGGACGATTATTTTAAAATATTCTATTTAGTATTAGGTCTTTAAAAAATGTTAATGTGATAAAAAGAAGAGGAAATGATTTTGTTTTTCACATCCACGTTCTCCTCTTGCTTCCTTTCTGACTGAGAAGAGCTTTACTTTCTCTTCAGCTGAAACTAGAGGGCGAAAGATCAGCTGTTCTTTCAACTAAAACTGGAAGTTGTAACTTAAGTGTTATATGTTTTTTCTAATATGCAAAAATTACTTGTGAAACTAACAACAATAAGTAAAACATCACCTCAAAAACTGCCTGAAATACCAATAAATACTTGTTTTTTCCCCTTTCCTTTGGTAAAAGCTTGACAAAAGCTTTTTGCAGAATATTTCTGGTATAAGAGCAGAATTCAATACAAGTGAGGAACCCAGTTTATCCACATAACTGAGCTCCAATGCAGAAACCTCCAATTCTGTGTTTGGGGTTTAGTGTTGTTTTAAATGATCAAATAAACCACTACAGTGGCTCTGGGAAGGCAAAGTATTCCTAACCCTGTGTTACCAGGATATGTGATTTCTGTCATTGGAAAATTGTTCCAAATCTTGGCAATCAAGGAACCAAAAATAACTAACTGACCCATAATAAAAATAAATAAATAAATAAATACATGTTCTATTTCTCTGTAGAAGCTGGGATTAAGGGTTAGGGTTTGTCCCATCAGTGGCTGATGATACAGACCTCACAAGATGATTGTAACCACTAACTAGAGACTTAGCATAGAGAATATTAATCATGTGACTGATTCATAAATTTTATGTTCAAAGTATATTATGTATATAATGTTCAAATAGTTATTGGTTACATCATTTTCTTTAAAAATGTCTATAACACCAGAAAGAAATTCTTATTGGACTTTACAACCGTAGTTTTGAGAATGTGCCTTTAACTTCCTCTTTCTTGATTTTTAGCTTTTAATCTTAAAATGACATGCAGGTTGAAAAATCAATGCATAATAGTACACATTAGATTTTTTTTTAAGTAGCTATATTAAGAGTTTGGTCAAGTCTTAGTTAGGGTACATTAGGAGAAATCTCTTGCACAGATAAAAGTAATGCCTTATTTTCAAATAGACATTAAAAAAGTCCTCAGTGAGCTGTACCTCACCTGCAGCTTTATTTCCATCACAATATCGAGCCTTCACTCAATGCAAATTATACACTGGCGCCCCCTAAATGAGCCCGAACACAGTACAGACAGCATCAGCAGCACTGACAGCAGCGGCAGAGATCCGCTGTGAGAGACTGCCCGGGATACCCAGGCGCTCTGACCGCATGGAGAACCGGCTGGCACGGCGGGAGGCAGCGGGAGCGCGCGGTGCCCCCGGTAATGCCTGCTCAGCTCAGAGTCCAAATTTAAAAAAAAAATTAAAAGTGCTGCGAGTTTAAACCACAGAGAAAGTTGGTTTGTTGCACTGAGCAGTACCACCATGCATAAAGGAGGCTTGGAGCCAAATTTGGAGGGGTTGAAGTGGTGCTTTATTGGGTTAACTTAACAACAATAATAATGATGATAACAATAACGATAATAATAATGATAATGATGATAATATTCACAGTAATAATAATGATGATGATGGAAGAACATTTTTATTCTCTCGACAACTCGAAGCTGCTGTTGGCTTCTCTCCTCTCCCCTCACAATAGAAATCTTCAACTTAAATGTCACTTTATTCCGACCAATACAACCACCAACTATTGTCATCTGAATTACAATAATAATGGGCGGGGGTGAGAGGGGTCTTTATCCCTCCGCACATCCATAAATCGCACGAAATGACAGTCGGCCAGTGAAGAGTTAAAGGGAGGAGACGGAGAGTGACACGCCTCATTGGGTAGATTATGTGCCGCAAACAAAAAGTGTGTGTCGGTGTGCCAGTCAGCCAGAGCATCGGGCCCCATCTGCACGCCTCTCTCTCCCTCTCTCTCTCTCTGTCTGCTTTTATCCGCGCAGCTCTCTCTCCCTGCCCCGCTCCTTCACTGCCAGTGTCGGCGGCAGCAGCAGCACTGTCACTTTCAGCACACTGGGGAGGAAATGTACTGATACTACGGAGCAGCCCGGGAGCGCATCACCATCTCCATCATCACCTCCATCACCGTCACCGCATCCCCCCCTCTCGTCTTTTCGGGGCTTTTTTCCCCCGGATTGATTCGCAGCATCGCTCTCAAATCGTTTGTGGATTATTGTTCCCTCCTCATCGACGGAAAGGTAGGTCTGTGACGTGAAAGCTGTGTGTGGTTCGGATAGTTTTGGAGCAGGAAAAAGGGGGTGGGTTGGGTGGTGGGTTCGCTTTGCGCGGCACGCGTCCTGCAGAATAAACAGCAGGAAAAAAATAGGGGGGAAAATAAAGCAAACGCAGATGTTTCCTCGCTGTCGCAGTTCAATCACAGCGCTGATTCGGGACAGTTTTAGCGGATGGGTGAAACACCCCCCAGTTTCAGCTCACCCCCACCTGCAGCGGGTTTGGAGGGAGAGGGTGGCTGCTTTCCTCCAGTTTGGATGTACAAACACGCCGCTCGGTGTCTCTTTTTTATTAATTCGAGCCTGGCCTTGACTCATATCAGTCACCCGATAATTTGTGAGGCTTTCATCCACCTCAAGCGACTATTTGGGTTCCTTTGAACATAAAGAGGTTCTGTTAGTGCCGGAAACAATTTTTTTTAGCTTCACATCGCAGCGCCGGGAGCCGCTTTGGAAAGGCTGTGTGCGCAAAATGTTCCAGAGAATCTTCCTGCTGCTGCTAAACGTTTACGAAGTTACAAAATCCTATAAATCAGCCGACTTCAGTGGCAGCTGTTCTTTGTTATTTAATCAAATTTTCACACTTCTTTTAAAACAATAATACTAATGAAAATAATAAATAACAGTAGAAGCCAAACCAGAGGAAAGCATCGCTTTTTCTCTTTTTGCAGCCACAAAACAACTGCGGATACCGGGGACAAACAGACGGTAGCTCATCTGTTCCCACCGCCAATCACCGGCACGAGAGCAGTTATCAATATCCGCCCGTTTATTTCTGAACCGGATCACATTTACGCGCAAAAGCCACGTTTCTCCCTGCGCGCAAGAGTGCACAGACCTTTATCCCAGCTGTGGAGCTTTTAAATGATACTTAAATGATTTTCTAATTAATGGCTTCATTTTGCCAAGACCGCGCCTCGTGGACTATAATAACAATAATAACAATTATTATTATTGTTATCATATAATAATAACTGCACTCTAAACTGTTAATTATAGTTACTTTGTTATAGGCCCAAAGTATAACAGTAAATCATTTTATTCATATTTTGCTGTTGCTAAAATAAACCAAACAGTGATCAGAGAACATTATATACAACATATCATTTCAACAATTTAGGAATGGCTTTTTAAGGAAAAGCTATTTTACTGAATTTATTGTTTGTATTTATTTATTTATTTCTGCCGTCCTTTGTGCCTAATTTACGGCCGAACAAATGTGCATCAGGTGCAGGCTTCCGCGCACAGATTCTGCAGTATTTAAACGCCAGAGGAGGAAGAGGGGAGGAGAGGAGGGACTGAAAGAGACGCAGCCGTCTAAACACACACATTCAGAGGTTAGAAAGGGAGAAAAGAAATAATTAACTGGTCGTGCTGCTTTAATTACAGTCTCAGAGGGGAAAGTGGCGGATTATGGTAATGAGGCGACATACGCTGCCGCTTGTAGAAAGGAGAGAAAGGTTGGCTGACATGAAATCACTGACTTTGACAGTCCACTTGAAACCCATTGGACATGCTCTCTCCGTTGGACGTGCTCGGACCTCACCAGCTCCTACTGAGGGCGCCGTCGTCTTATTATCCTTCTCTTTTTTCTCCTTTGTAACAAAAACAGTCTTCAGACAATGTGAGAAATCCAACAAAACCAGACACGATATTAAATGGATAAAGATAATATTTATAGAAAAATCAATGATCACACAAGCGTGAAGCACAGTCAGCTCACTGGAAAAGTGAGGACGTTAAAAGTGACTCTGGGAACTGTAGGAAATACAGTAAACGCTTTAACAGGAAGCACCTGGAAATACTGAAGCACCAAACTTTTTTTTTCATAGTAATTTTTCATTTTCATTTTTCTTTCATCAGGCAGAGAGGACATTGAGGGAGTCCGCGAAGGCCTTCTGATGTTAAAATTAGCATTAATACTTTATTATATCACTTATGCGAACATTATATAATAATAATCTGATTGGATTAATAGCCGTACTATTGTTAACAAGAAAACATTCTAGATTGTTTTATTCCTATACACATATCGCTTATTTTTACAGACAGCATTATTATTATTATTATT